AAGAAGAAGAAGAAGAAGAAGAAGAAGAAGAAGAAGAAGAAGAAGAATCTTTGTGCAATGGGACTAAATTTAGCCAATCAAGAAGCAATGAAAAGAGCTTCTACATCAGACTGCTTGGTCTTTCATTGTCTAATTAATAAATTAGGCCTAAATGAAAAAATAATCCAGACAACATTCATACTGTGGAGGCATTCTGAAAACATTGCACAAAGGGTCAATGATTGCCCAGGACTTTCTACAAGCTTCACAAAACAGAGCCACAGCTTTCGAAATCTCCTTGAATTTCCCTTTCTACTTTGCAGACTTTTGCTAGCCTTTCAACTTTTTGAGGAAAGTCTAGCCATTTTAATCTTACAGATTATGTCATTTTATATGGGTTGAGTTGCCACATATCACACTTTCTGATGGTTTTATAGCTCAAAGCGTTAATCATTTAGATCTACCATAAATTAGAATGACAATGTAGAGGTTCTCATGGTTTTGGAGGACTGTCCTATTCTGGGCCATTTTGGGCCCTTGATCCAGATGTTTGAAGTTAGAATTCACCCCTAAACTGGGATGGGCAAGCAAGCTATGAGAAGGAGGCAAATTGATCTCCCTGTAGATGTCTAAATTAGATGACAACAGGGTATGATCTGCATTTCTTCTGGGAACTTGGAAGTTTGGAATTTTTGACCTGCTCCTGCCATATGTAACCTGAGCAGAACCAACCAATGAACTTTTCCAATAAAAGAGATACTTGATACGCCCAGCAGTTTAATTTGCCTCTAGGTCCATTTGTGACTTTCATTGGCTTCCTCGAAGTTTGATGGTTCTCTCTGCCAAAGAGGAGGAGGAGGTTGATTTGGTGTCATAAAGCTTCTCCCTGTCTCCTCTGTGGGTGGAAGTCTCTTTGAGGTAAGCTCAGGGCATGCTGGGGAAGGAGGACAGGTGTGGAGCAAACTGTATTGGAGGACACATATGGTAGATCCTCCAGTGTGCTGGCCAAATGCTTCTGCAAAGCAGAGTAATCAGCAGAAGTGAGGTGGCTACATTGCTTTGTTGACATCTTTTTGAAGGAAAAGAAAGACTAGGAATGACACAATAGCAGTGTTGCAATATATGCCACAAGGAAGAGGGGAGGAGGTGTCAACTTATTCTCCAAAGCACCAAAAAGCAAGACAAGAAGCATGGAAATGAATCCAGGATTGAAACCTATTAAAGAGTGATCCAAGCTAGAACTAAGGAGACATTTTCTAACAATTAGTCATTAACTTAGTATATTCCAGCATGATAGATGTTGAACCTAGCCCTTCATGGCCTCCCAACTTTGGCCAACTTATTCTCCAAAACACCTGAAGGCAGAACAAGAAGCAACAAATGGAAACTAATCAAGGAGAGAAGCAACCTAGAATTAAGGATGAATTTTCTGAAAGTGAAAACAATTAACCAGTGGAACTGCTTGCCTTCAGAAGGTGTGGGTGCTTCATCACTGTAGGTTTTCAAGAAATGATTGAGCAGCTACTTGTCTGAAATGGTCGAGACTCTAGGGCCTCCTGCTTGAGCAGGGGATTGGATTAGAAGGCCTCCAACTCTGTTATTCTGTTTATTCTGTTAAAAGCAGATACTAATCATGTAAAGTCTCCAGGAAGTGTATGTTCTCAGCAATGATAATCCCTCCAGTCACTAATGGATTATTCACACATCTGAGAATGATGTGAAGATGTTTCCAAAATCCAAAGGGAATCCCGTTCTAGCAATTACCTGTGATTCTTACTTCCTTTTGTCAGACTCCTGGGATTTCCCCAGCAGCCAATTAGCAAGCCGATGACAGAAAGACTGATTGTAAAATTCAAAGGCAGGGATCAGCCTGGTGCTTTCAAATGAGATGGAGAAGATTTCATAGCTACAAGAGTGTGTGTGTGTGTGGGGGGGGGAGCTAATTATACCTGCAGAGGAGGAAAAAAAAATTCCCCAAGTAAGGAATAAGAAAGAAACTTTCAACAGTCATCCTACAACTTCTCTCCGATTCAAATACTGCCAACCTGCCTTCCATGGAGGACCTGTATCCTGCACGGGTCAAAAAGAGGGCTGTGAAAATATCTGCAGACCCCTCACATCCCAGACATAAACTGTTTCAACTCCTTCCCTCAAAACAACACTATAGAGCACTGCACACCAGAACAACTAGACACTAGGGCAGTTTTCTCCCCCAACGCCATCACTCTGCTAAACAAATAATTCCCTCAACACTGTTCAACTTATTTACTAATGCTGTATTACTACTATTCCTCTACTATTATATTATAATAACACTTCCTAGTGCCCATCTCTTCTCACTGATGACTATAACCATGTTGCTTGTAACTTTACAATTTATATTGTTTTATTTGTTCCCTAGTATGATTTGATTGCTTATTAGTAACCCATGACTGTCACTAAGTGTTGTATCTTATGATTCTTGATGAATGTATTTTTTCCCTTTATGTACACTGAGAGTCTATGCACCAAAGACAAATTCCTTGTGTGCCAGTCACACTTGGCCAATAAAGAATTCTATTCTATATAGCCATTTTAACCCGAGCCGAACCAACCATTCTTTCGTGTGGACAATCGACATATTTCAAGGATAGTCATTTAGGGTTTACTTGGAACAGGTTGTACCAAAGACATACATTTTTTTTAAAGACAAGAGAAAGATTTAGCTTAAAAAAAAGAAAGCAAGAAAATTAGGCTTGAGTAGGGTTGGGTTGGGTGCAATTCATGTTGATACTTCCCAACAATTCCTGACAGTTTAGAACAATTAATCAGTGGAATGACTTGCCTGCAGAAGTTGTGGATGCTCCAACACTGGAAATTTTTAAGAAGAGATTGGATAACCATCTGTCTGAAGTGTTGTAGGATTTCCTGCCCAGGCAGGGGACTGGAAGCAGATCAGTGGTTGCCAACCAGTGGGCCGGAGACCACTGTGGTGGCCCGCAAGAAAATTTTGGTAGTCCACAGAGAAATGTCCCGCCCCAAGCAATTAATCCAGGCTGTACTGGAACACAACGCTGCACCGCCCACATGGCCTGACCACCTGCTGGCCCTCACCCTTCAGCCAAGCACAAACCTTATCTTGAGTAGAGCCATGTGAGCTGGAACTGGAAGGTAAGACCAACAGCAGGGGAGGGAAATCTGCCCCAGGGTGGCTTGCTGACATTGGTGGGAAAATTGGTCCCATATTCCAGAGCTGCAGTAGTCACAGGACTGGCCCATTAAGACTCATTAAAAGATTTCTGTTCTCTTTGGTTATTGTTTGTCTTATTGGAAAAGGGTTTGGGACAGAACACATATAGAACATAGAAACATAGAGCCAGAAGGGACCTTGGAGATCTTCTAGTCCAGCTAGCTGCTCAAGGCAGGAGACCTTATTTCAGGGGTCGGCAACCTTAAATGCTCAAAGAGCCATTTGGACCCATTTCCCACAGAAAAGAAAACACCAGGAGCCACAAAACCCTTCCCATGCCTGACTATTCCTGAGAGGCCACAAAACTACCATATGTAGTTGAATATGAACTTCTGAAATTTTTCTTTTCTTGGATTTATCCATGGTTGGCCTACTGGGGGTCAAAAAGCTCAATAAATCATGTGCCAGTGGGTGTCACACACATTGGTGATTGTGATGCATATTTTGAGTGACAGGGAGCCTCAGCAGAGGGATGAAAGAGCCACATGTGGCTCCAGAGCTGCTGGTTGCTGACCCCTGCCTTATACCATCTCATCAAGTGGTTGTCTAACCTATTTTTGAAAACCTCCAGTGATGGATCACCCACAACTTCTGAAGGCAAGTTTCTTCCACTGGTTAATTGTCCTCACTATTAGGAAGTTTCTGGTTAATTCCAGGTTGCTTCTCTCCTTGATTAGTTTCCTTCCATTGCATCTTGTCTTGCGTTCTGGTCCAGAATGGTACAGGGTCTCCTGCTTAAGCAGGGGATTGGAGTAGAAGACCTTCAAGGGCCCTTTCCACTCTGTTATTCTGGTTACCAGAGAGCTTTAGACATAGAGGAGCAAACTTCAACATAACAGAAGATTATACCTGCATGCAGTCAGTCAAGAAGGCATCTCTGAAATGCCTTCATAGTTACTCATTCTAATTTTGAACTGCCACAAAACATTTGGATGATATTTGAGTGGGGTGAGGATGACCTAAAATTTGGCCTCACAATAATAGTGAACTTCAGCCTGGCATTTAGGAATGATTTTAAGGCACTTTTTCAAAGTTTATAATAAGGAGTCTGATTGAAACCTGGGTACGATATTGTTCCAATGTACAAGACTGCAGAGATTGATATTAATTCTTTAAGGGAATATCAAATATTCACTATAGCCTTAAATTAGACTTCATTTAATATAAATGTATGCGCCTGTAAAAGAATAATGAAATACAAGGGGAAAAAATCATATACCTTTCCTAACTTAATAAAAGTCTGAGGAGCAGGTTCAAGAGTTTGATTTATTAAATAAACACAACCTCAGTCATGGAGGTCTGCGCGTAAAATTGTAGTTTTTTGTTTCATCAGGCAAATATTTCATAAATCGAAGGGACTCTGAAAGGCCTTTTAATTGTATAGAATATTTGCTGAGTTTTTAATATCAGTGTTAGAATGAGTTATTATATTCATGTGTCGGCATCTCTGTATGTGTGTTTTTCAGTTGAGCAATTTGTCTCACACACTAATCTGGTCCTGCTTACTTTCTGACTCTCTCTAACTTCTTTTATTATTATTATTAGTGAGATGTATGAAACATTGGGTATCTTCAGAAATAAGTTCATTTTGATAGCTCAAAGATATATTTAATTATATTTAATAGAGTAGAAGTAGAAATAAAAATAGGAGTAGAGTAGAATAGAATAGAGTAGAGTAGAGTATCATAGAGAAGAATAGAATAGAGTAGAGTAGAGTAGAACAGAACAGAACAGAATAGAATAAATTTCACAATTTTCCAAAGCACCCAAAGGCCAGACAAGAAATAATAGATGGAAACTGATGAAGGAGAGATTCAACCTAGAAATAAGGTGAAATTTGAAGAGCAATCAACCGAATGGAACAGAAATTGCCTTCAGAAGTTGTGGGAACTTCATCCCTGGAGGCTTTCAAGAAGAAACTGGACCGCCATCTGTCAGAAATGATGTAGGGTCTCCTGCTTGGGCAGGAGGGGGAGGTTGGATTAGATGGCCTCCAAGGTCCCTTCCAACTCTGTTAAAACCTAGTTGGAGAAAGGGCTTGTATTCAGCAAAATTCATTTCCTAAAAGCCCCCATCGGCTGCAATTCCCTAGGGCCATTGTCCTTTTAGGGGGGTTATTAATACCGCTCCCCATATGGATTACATTTATGAATAAATCCTATTACACGCACTCTACCTTATGGTTCTTGTCATGTAAGTGACATGAAATTTCAATGGCACGCTCTCAAATATAATGGTACCATGGCTCCTTCGGTGTTCTCCCTGCCTGCAGTTTCCGATTCATATATGTAATGTCCCTTCACACATGTTCCTTGTTCTAGCACAACAAGGATTTTAATGCCACGGAGAGGTACCATGCTCTTGTGATTTGTGTTGGAAATGGTCAACTCCCCAAGGATGGTATTTTACAGTTGAAAGAGAGAGAGAGAAAGAGAGAAAAAATACGTGCTATAGATTTTAAAAGATGGTTTGACATGATTTTCCAGACAGACACCCTTGTTCTAAGGATAGTATTTCATTCGTACACACAACTTCCCCCTCACACACACACCCCAAAAAATCTGGAATGGTTTATCGTCACTTCAGGAAACGTGCTATGAATTTTCTACTTTTTAATATAGTCTTCTCCGTCTACAAAAGGTTCCCATGAATGTGGGATAGAGCAAGAACTTTTTCTTAAAAAAAAAAAGTTTGAAATACATGAAAGCATGCGTTCGTTAAAATTCTTGCCAATGAACAATTTTGATTAACATATTGGTGCATTAGAAAAATATAGTAGTGAAACTTGGTAATGAGTAACTAAATGTTGATTCTTAATTATCGATGCATTATAATATTCAAACAAACAAATAATAATCTACATTTTTATCATTGCTATCACATGCTTGTATCATTGTTTCTTCCTTCTCCTTCCCTTCCCTTCTATTCCATTCCATTCCATTTTCTATTCTCTATTCCCTTCCCTTTCCTTCCCTTCCATTAGCTTTCCTTTCCTTTCCTTTCCTTTCCTTTCCTTTCCTTTCCTTTCCTTTCCTTTCCTTTCCTTTCCTTTCCTTTCCTTTCCCTTCTCTTCCCTTCCCTTAGCTTTCTCTTCTCTTCTCTTCTCTTCTCTTCTCTTCTCTTCTCTTCTCTTCTCTTCTCTTCTCTCTTCCCCTTCCCTTCCTCTTCCCCTCCTCCTTTTTCTGCCTACCTTCTCCTTCCCTCCCCCTTCCCTCCCTCTTCTCTTCCTTTTCTTTCTCATACTTTTCTTCCTTCTCCTCCTTCTCCCTCTCCTTCCCCTTCTCCTCCCTCTCATTTATTTCATGCTTTTTGTAGACTGCAGATCTAATGTCTGACCAGTATATCTTCATCACAGGGCCCTCCCAGTATGACCCTCTATGGTTACACAGTTCTTATTCTAACCTTTTTTTTGCTGTAACATATTCTGGCATGGCAAAGTCAATTCCCTTAACTCATCTTGGTTTGATAGCATCCATGAAGGGTGGGGGTTTCCTTGTTTTGGTTTTTTGGTTTTTTGGCATGGATACAGATTTGGTTTGCCTCTGTTTCCTACAATTTGGGAAAGGTCCCTCAGCCTGCCAAGCTTTTCTGGCTGCCTTTTTAAAATTCCAATCAAATGTCAAGACAGGGTATTATTTGTGCATTCAACAACAGGCGCCAGGACAACAGTTTTTGTGGTTTATACAACAGGGGGGGTGGTCCCTGTTCACCCTCTCCCCAATTTAGAGCTTAGATCTGGATGAAGCTTCTACGATCTGACATTCAGACCAGGGATGGATGGATGATCCTGCTTTCTTTTAGCTTCTGAGTGCCAAATTGCAATTAGATGAAACCAAATGGAGTATTCACTTTGATCCAAGCTTACTATGTTACATGTTGACAAATACTCAGAGCACTGTTTTATTTATTTATTCATACATTAAATTTATACGCTTTAGATATTTATGTACTACATGTTTATATCGTTATGGTTGGAGGGAGAGAACCAGAGGTGATATTCAGCAGGTTCTGATCAGTTCTGGAGAACTGGTAACAGAAATTTTGAGTAGTTCAGAGAACTGGCAAATCCCACCTCTGACTGGCCCCGCCCGCATCAATTCTCTGCCTCCCAAGTTCCAGCTGATTGGCTGGGTCTTCTTGGTTGCCCTGCACAGGAGAACGAAGCTGGAAAGCAGGTTAGTGGGGTGGGGATGAAATGGTGATTTTGTAGTACCCTTCCCCTGCCACGCCCACCAAGTCACGCCACACCCGCCAAGCCAGGCCCACAGAACTGGTAGTAAATTTTTTTGAATCCCACCACTGGAGAGAACCAAGTCAAACATTGTAAGAAATCATTCTCCTTGCTAGACCTTATCAATTCAAGATATTGTTTAGGATTTGCTGCTTCAATGTTTATTATGCACCAAAAAATGAGCCAATCAAGGTTTGCTCTAGTTTTCTTTTTCTCAAGCTATTTTTTCATTGTGGGGGTGGTGGTTTCCATTTAAAGGCTCCATCTTCCTACTCTAAAAGAGTCCATTGAAAGTTTTATTCTTTAATTAGGTAGGGAACAAGATAGCAATGTTCCAATATTTGAGGTCAAAAGGGGGTCAACTTATTTTCCAAAGCACCTGAGGGCAGGATAAGAAGCAATGGGTGGAAACTAACCAAGGAGAGAAGCAACCTGAAACTAAGGAGAAATTTCTTGACAGTGAAAACAATTAACCAGTGGAATAATTTGCCTTCAAGTTGTAGGTGCTTCATCCCTGGAGGTTTTTAAGAAGAGATTGGACGGCCATTTGTCTGAAATGGGATAGGTTCTCCTGCTGGAGCAGAAGATTTGACTAGAAGATCTCTAAGATCCCTTCCAACTCACTTATTCTGTAATCTGTAAATGATGTTAATTTCTATGATTATCTCCAACAGTCACTTTAGCCATACATTTATTTCAATTACTTTATTTAAATTCAACACCGCAATTTTTTTTCTGGTTGCAGATGTTGAAATGGGCAACTGTGAAAACTGCACGAAAACTTTAAAATCTTTAAACAAAAAGGGAAGAAGCTTACTTTATAAATCCAATCTTTCTTGTTTGCATGGATAAAAAGAAAATAATTTTAATTCTGGTTTGTGGGAATACTTTCTCCTTTGAAATGTTTTAAAAAATAAGAATAGGAAAAGTCATGTTCTTAATTTACATCCTTTTTTAATGCTACATGCTGAATTAATTATGAGGTTTCAATTTTGCCAGGCTGAAAACACATCACAAAATGTCCTAAGTTTTTCCCCAAAGCTGATACATTTCAACAGTCACCGATTTTGTGCTAGAAGGAAATGAGATAATAATGACCATTGCTTAGTTTTGTCTAACTAGAAGTGATGATGAAAGAGAGTTGAAGTATCTTTAAAGCTAACAGCTTATTTTCTGAAGTTAGAAAGAAAAGTTTTGTGTGGTCTGTTTTGGAGGTCAGGGTTGGGCAGAAATGATACTTTAGACACCATTCACATGGACACAATGATCAAATACAGAATGGGGTGGGATGAGATAAC